TAGAGAGATAAAGAAGAGAGAATGAGGGAAATAATAAAAGAGAGAGATGGGGAGCGACAGATAGGAAAGATAAAGAGAGGGGAAAGATAAAGAGAGAGGGGAAGGGGGAAAGATAAAGAGAGAGAGAGAGAGAGAGAGAGGAAAGATAAAGAGAGAGGGGAAAGATAAAGAGAGAGAGGGGAAGGGGGAAAGATAAAGAGAGAGAGAGAGAGGAAAGAGGGGAAAGATAAAGAGAGAGAGAGGGAAAGATAAAGAAAGAGAGAGGGGGAGATACAGAGAGAGAGAGAGCGGGGGAGAAGAAGAGAAGAGGAGAGAGAGAAGAGTGGAGAGAAGAAAGAAGAAGAGAGAGGGCGAGAAAGAAGCAGAAGAGAAGAAGAGAGGCAGAAGAGAGAGAGAGAGGAGAAGGGGAAGATAAAGAGAGAGAGGTGGGAGATAATGAGAGAGAGAGGAGGAAAGATAGAGAGAGGGAGAAAAGATAAAGAGAGAGGGGGAAGAGAAAAGAGAGAAGAGAGAGAGTAGAAAAAGAAGAAGAAGAGAGAGAAGAAAGAGAGAGAGATGAAGAGAGAGAGAGAGGGGGGGAGAGAAGGAGAGAGAAGGACGAGAAGAGGAAGAGAGAGGAGGGAAAGATAAAGAGAGAGAGGGAGTGAAAGATAAAGAGAGAGAGAGAGAGAGAAGGGGAGAGAGTGAAGAGAGAGAATGAGGAAAAAGGAGAAAGACAAGAAGAGAGGAGAAGAAGAGAGATTAAAGAGAGAGTGAGAGATGGAAGGGGGAGATAAAGAGAGAGAGGGGAAGTGGGGGAAGATAAAGAGAGAGAGGGGAGATAAAGAAAGAGGGGGACAGATAAAGAGAGAGGGGGAAGGGGGAAGATAAAGAGAGAGAGGGGAAAGATAAAGAGAGAGAGAGAGAGATGGAAGGAAAGATAAAGATAGAGAGAGTGGAAAGGGGGGAAGAGAACAAGAGAGAGTGAGAGCGGGGAAGGGGGGAGATAAAGAGACGGGGTGAGATAAAGAGAGAGATGGGGGAAGATAAAGAAAGAGAGAGGAGAAAGAGGAGACAAAGAGAGGGGGAAGATAGAGAGAGACAAAGAGGGGTAAATATAAGAGAGGAGGGGGGGGCGGGGGGAGATAAAAGGGAGAGAGAAAGGGAAAAGATAAAATGAGGGAGAGGGGTTTAAGGGGGATAAGATGAGAAAGAGAGAAGGGAGGGGGAAAGGTTAAAGAGCGAGAGGGGGCGAAATGAGAGAGGGGGGAAAATAAAGAGAGAGAGAGGGGGAAGGGGGAAAGATAAAGAGAGAGAGAGAGAGAGAGGAACGATCAAGAAAGAGAGGGGAATGGGGGAAAGATAAAGCGAGATGAGGGGGAACAGATAAAGAAAGAGCGAGGGGGATAAAGACGAGAGAGGGGAGGGGGGAAGATAGAGAGAGGCGGGGAGATAAAGAGAGAGAGGCGGAGAGGGGAAAGATAAAGAGAGAGAGGGGGAACGATAAAGAGAGAGAAAGAGAAGGAAAGATAGAGAGAGGGGGGAAGATAAAGAGAGAGGGGGGAAGATAAAGAGAGAGGGGGAAGATAAAGAGAGAGAGAGAGAGGGGAAAGAGGAAAAGAGAGAGAGGGGGAGAGATAAAGAGAGAGAGGGGGACAGATAAAGAGAGAGGGGAAAGATAAAGAGAGAGAGGGGGAAAATATAAAGAGAGAGAGGGGGGAAAAGATAAAGAGAGAGAAAGGGGACAAGATAAAGAGAGAGAGAAAGGGGGGCGAAGATAAAGGGAGAGAGAGGGGGAGGGGAAAGATAAAGAGAGAGAGGGGGAACATAAAAAGAGAGTGGGGAAGAAAAAGAGAGAGAGAGGGGGAGATAAAGAGAGAGAGAGAGGGGGAGATAAAGAGAGAGAGAGGAGGGGGAAGGGGGAAAGATAAAGAGAGGGGGAGATAAAAGCGAGAGAGGGGAGGAGGTAAGGAGAGAGAGGGGGAATGAGAAAGACATAGAGGGGAGAGATGGAGGGAAAAAGAAAGAAAGAGAGTGGAGAGAGAGAAGTACGGAGACAATAGAAGAAACTACTGTCCGTCAACAACTGTGTGTTGTGAGCACAATTGTATGTAACATTCCCCGGTATAGATCTACTGGCAATCATGATTGTCACAGAAATATTAAATCATTTTAATCTCAAACAACAACAATGCAATATTTACACAATCCACCAACTGGCGGGCAGCAATATATACACATGTGAGTGATTTATGGTTCATTGACTCTGTTGCTGCAATAGTTACAAGTTCGGTTTAAAATTTTGGGACAATGGGATTTGTGGGAGTTGGGTGGGGGAGGAAGGGGACGAGGAGAAAGAGAGAGTCTGCACGAACAAGTTTGAGAGAAACAGAGAAAAGATATAAATACCTGTCGATCTCCGTAAGGTTTGTAAGATCACATTTGTCACCATAAACAAGAGCCACGACTGACTGACTGACTGACTGACAGATTGACTGGTTGACGATTAACTTACTGACTAAATGGCTGACTGATTGACTGACTGACTGACTGGCTGACTGGCTGGCTGACGGAGTGACTGACTGACTGATTGACTGACTGACTGAATGGCTGACTGATTGACTGCCTGACTGATTGACTGACTGAATGGCTGACTGATTGACTGACTGGCTGATTGACTGGCTGACTAAGTGACTGATTAACTGGCTGACTGACTAAATGACTGACTGACTGGCTGACTGAGTGACTGGCAGATTGAGGGACTGACTGGCTAACTGACTGACTGACTGACTGACTGGCTGGTTGAAGGTCCTGACGGAACTCACGAGTCGACAAGTAGCGGTCAAGGTGTCAGTAGACTTCACAGTCAAGATACTCAACCCCGCAGTGTTTCATTGCTGCTGCTTTGGATGTTGTCATGTTGTCTTACGTGTCTTTTTGTCTAAACTTCTCCAGTCGGCATCTGCCAGTGCCCACTAGTACACTAAACTTCTCCAGTCGGCATCTGCCAGTGCCCACTAGTACACTAAACTTCTCCAGTCGGCATCTGCCAGTGCCCACTAGCACACTCAAAATGTGATTATTAAACTACTGTAAAGACCTGGCGGCTGCATATTATATGTGTATTATGAAAAACACTGTTACAATCTGTAATCACATGGAGGGACAGTGTTAAACTCTGTAATCACATGGAGCGATAGTGTTAAACTCTATAATTACATGGAGGGACAGTGTTTAACTCTGTAATCACATGGAGGGACAGTGTTAAACTCCTTTAATCACATGAGGGACAGTGTTAAACGCTGTAATCACATGGAGGGACAGTGTTAAACTCTGTAATCACATGGAGGGACAGTTTTAAACGCTGAAATAACATAGAATGACGGTGTTAAACTATGTAATCACATGAAGGGATAGTGTTAAAATCTGTAATCACATGGAGGAACAGTGTTAAACTCTATAATTACATGGAGGGACAGTGTTTAACTCTGTAATCACATGGAGGGACAGTGTTAAACTCCTTTAATCACATAGAGGGACAGTGTTAAACTCTGTAATCACATGGAGGGACAGAGGTGAACTCTGTAATCACATGGAGGGACAGTGTTAAACTCTGTAATCACACGGAGGGACAGTGTTAAAGTCTGTAATCACATGGAGGGACAGTGGTAAACTCTGTAATCACATAGAGGGACAGGGGTAAACTCTGCAATCACATGGAGGGACAGTGTTAAACTCTGTAATCACATGGAGGGGCAGTGTTAAAACTCTTTAATCACATGGAGGGACAGTGTTAAACTCTGTAATAACATGGAACGATGGTGTTTAACTCTGTAATAACATGGAGGGATGGTGTTTAACTCTGTAATCACATGGAGGGATGGTGTTTAACTCTGTAATCACATGGAGGGATGTGTTAAACTCTGTAATAACATGGAGAGATGGTGTTTAACTCTGTAATCACATGGGGGACAGCGTTAAACTCTGTAATCACATGGAGGGATGATGTTAAACTCTGTAATCTCAGTAATATACAATATGAATCTGTTCGGTCATGAGACCACACACAATGGTAAACTTGACAGTGATGACAAGGGCAGCAACCCCACTCTATTTAATGGCCATCCATTTGGGCTGACCACTCTGGAACTACAGGTGGATCTGATCTACTGATTCGGGATGCTGGAACTCTGCCCGTCTGACCACACCGTCATAAAGACTATCAGAACACACGTGTCTGGGAGCCGCCGTGGTGTAGCGGCTAGACGCTCGCCTGCCGATGCGAAGGGCGTGGGTTCGGGTCCTCATGGAGTAAACTATTTCTCCAAAATGACCTTGGCTCTAAAGTAGACCCAGCCTTAAATGGGCCCCAGGTAAAAGTCCTGGGAAGTCAAGGCAGCCGGCATGATATTGACCACATCATTCACCGAGTGCCGATCGGTCCATAAAACATAGGTCTAGCCCAGTGTGCCCAATACGCCTGAAGGCGTGAAAAGGATTCGTTTTACAGATGTATTTACATCCATTACAAAATTTTAAAAAATATATATATGTGTATAAAAGAAAGCAATAATGAACATCGACGTTGAAAGCAATGTGCCAGGATTGTGGCATCAATTGAAGATTTTGAAGAATTTGTTCAGTGATTTCTTCTGCTGGTTTTTCTCGTCTTTTCTATCAGACAATCCTTTGGGAGATTTAGGCCTGCGATGTTGTAGGTGAGTGAACTGTGGATGGTGCTGCTGCAGCTGTGGATGGTGCTGCTGCAGCTGTGGATGCTGCGATGTTCCCCACATGGTGGCCCGGTCATCGGCGATGTAGACCGGTTGTAAGATATGTCCATACTTGTCATGATGGGTCTCTTGGATGACGCGGTGGAACACTCGCTCCACAAAGTCGTATTCCTCCGCCGCTGTTGTCTCATAGAACACACAGTCGTATTCAGTTGCTAATGACGATCCTTCTGATTTGTTAACCTGCCTGGAGAGAGAAAAGAAAAAGGACTGAAACATTCTTTTAACAAAACAATCCTCCTACCGACAGTGTGTTAAAATGTGTTGATTGTTTGCTTGTTTGACAATTATAAGTTCGCAGCAATCTTTGGGCTGAAAGGAGTCAGACACAGCTTGGCCCACTTATATAGAGCCGGCTATTGTAAAAACTGTCAAGTGAAGACGGAATTTTAGAAGTTAAAGTAAAATAAGATTTCTCCGGTCAATATGGCGGATAGTCTTGTTTAATATTGTAGTCGTGGCACGATATTGCTTCTGATAATAGTTATAAGTTGCATTTTCCTCCATAGCTAGACTGAACAAATGTAGTTCCGTCGTCTAATTACTGAGTTGAGTGCATTGCACGACATCGTAAACTGCGGACTTCATTAACAACGTTTGTCGACTAGGCCCAGCGTGGTTTGTGTAGTGATCTGCAGATTCAGAAAATAGCAAGTGACCTGTTGACACAGATAAGTGGCGGTGCCTTATGCTGTTGATTGCGGGTGCAACTAATGATCTGTTGTAACTGGTGCTTCCATAGACGATGAACTGCATTTCCAGTGTAGGACTGTTGGTATTGGCACTTCTGACTACTGTCTTGTGCATTTCCAGTGTAGTACTGTTGGTATTGGCACTTCTGACTACTGTAGTGTGCATTTTCAATGTAGGACTGTTGGTATTAACACTTCTGACTACTGTCTTGTACATTTCCAGTGTAGGACTGTTGGTATTGGCACTTATGACTACTGTCTTGTGCATTTCCAGTGTAGGACTGTTGGGACTGGCACTGTTGACTACTGTCTTGTGCATTATCAGTGTAGGACTGTTGGGCTTGGCACTTCTGACTACTGTCTTGTGCATTTCCAGTGTAGGACTCTGTACTGGCACTTCTGACTACTGGTTTATGCATTTCCACAGTAGGACTGTTGGTAATGGCACTTCTGACTACTGTTTTGTGCATTTCATGCACGGGTATGCTGTTGGGTTTGCTAGGACTGCAGTGTATTGATTCCATAAGGTAAGCGATAGATATTATGTTTAGTAACTGCCCAGACAATAAATGCATAACCTTCGATTCAAGAAAGATCAAGTATACACAACTGGAAACACACACATACACACACACACACAACCCCCCCCCCCCCCCACACACACACACACAACACCCACAAACACACATAACACTAGGGTCTGAAATGGCTAACACGTGGATAAAATAACGACACAAAAACAAGCATATCTCAAGAAAGAGAGCCGGTAACAGTAAATAACAGACGGTATCTGGAGCCAGTTCTGTGTATGACGATATGTTGTCAGTTGCACAATCTTAGCGATAAGAAGAAACTCTTTTGGTGATAATTTTACTACAAAGGGAATGTTCCTGTTGGCAGATATAACTGCTGCCTTGTGCATTTTCTTTGCGTGTGCGAGCTTCAAGATTTTGCTGGGACTGATATATTTCTCACTAGTGTCCCCCCCCCCCCCCCCCCCCCCCCCCCCCCCCCCAAAAAAAAAAAACCAACAGTAAAAAACATGCTGTATGATTTCAAGTGTTGACGGAAGTCACAGTTATGGAACACTCCACTCGCAGTAAAGTCAGATCCTGGCCTAACGACTGGGGCGCAGACAGAGGTGCGGAGTTTTTGTCTGGGACAGGCCCGTCAGCTGAAGGACGATGACGCTGTATCGTATGGTTGGTGGGCTGGCACCTGCACAAACTGACATGACCATAAATATCTGTCACATCCCGTTGGGCAAATGTGTTGTTTGTTTGTCTCGACACAGCTTCCAGAATGTTCTTGCGGCAGAGAACAGAGCATCAATGATGAACCCAGAGGCGTAGTCACAGGAGTACGGGGGTAGGGGCCTCCCCAGTTGATATGACTGGGGGTCGATGACAACATGACAAAAATATGTTGGTGACTTGGGGAAACTGAGGGAAAGAGGGAGGAGGGGGGGGGGGTGGGAAAAAGACATTTTCTGTACTGAGTATCGCCTGACCCTACCACGTTACAATGTGCCACCTGACTTTGCCACGTTACCATGTACCGACTGATCTTACCACGTTATCATGCACCACCTGACCTAACCACGTTACCATGTACCACCTGACCTAACCACGTTACCATGTACCACCTGACCTAACCACGTTACCATGTACCACCTGACCTAACCACGTTACCATGTACCACCTGACCTAACCACGTTACCATGTACCACCTGACCTAACCACGTTACCATGTACCACCTGACCTAACCACGTTACCATGTACCACCTGACCTAACCACGTTACCATGTACCACCTGACCTAACCACGTTACCATATACCACCTGACCTAACCACGTTACCATGTACCGACTGAGCTTGCCACGTTACCATGTACCACCTGACCTTGCCTCGTTACCATGTACCGCCTGACATTGTCACGTTACCATGTACCGCCTGACCTTGTCACGTTACCATGTACCGCCTGACTTTGCCACGTTACCATGTACCGCCTGACATTGTCACGTTACCATGTGCCGCCTGACTTTGCCACGTTACCATGTACCGCCTGACATTGTCACGTTACCATGTGCCGCCTGACTTTGCCACGTTACCATGTACCGCCTGACCTTGCCACGTTACCATGTACCGCCTGACATTGTCACGTTACCATGTACCGCCTGACATTGTCACGTTACCATGTACCGCCTGACATTGTCACGTTACCATGTACCGCCTGACATTGTCACGTTACCATGTACCACCTGACATTGTCACGTTACCATGTACCGCCTGACATTGTCACGTTACCATGTACCGCCTGACATTGTCACGTTACCATGTACCGCCTGACATTGTCACGTTACCATGTACCGCCTGACATTGTCACGTTACCATGTACCGACTGCCCTTGTCACGTTGCCATGTACCGCCTGACATTGTCACATTACCATGTACCGCCTGACATTGTCACATTACCATGTACCGCCTGACTTTGAACATGTATCATCAAACAGAATAATAATTGTAAAATGTCTATATAATGCTCACCTGTATCGCTCCAGGTCAATTTTGTTACCAACCAAAGCCACAGGACACTCTCGGCCTTGACCTTTGAGATAGATAGAGATGCTGTCCATGTATTGGCGCGCCATCTCGAACGTCTGCCGGTTGGTGATGCTGTAGACGATGATAAAGGCGTCGGCCCACCTCAGGTACCTGCTGGGGTCACTGTCCTCCTGGCAGAGAGAGAGAGACGGTAGGCAGTTATCATACAGAAAACAGACATGCAGTTAACATAGAGAATACAGACATGCAGTTATCATACAGAATACAGACATACAGTTATCATACAGAATACAGACATGCAGTTATCATACAGAATACAGACATGCAGTTATCATACAGAATACAGACATGCAGTTATCATACAGAATACAGACATACAGTTATCATACAGAATACAGACATGCAGTTATCATAGAGAATACAGACATGCAGTTATCATACAGAATACAGACATACAGTTATCATACAGAATACAGACATGCGGTTATCATACAGAATACAGACATGCAGTTATCATACAGAATACAGACATGCAGTTATCATACAGAATACAGACATGCAGTTATCATACAGAATACAGACATGCAGTTATCATACAGAATACAGACATGCAGTTATCATACAGAATACAGACATGCAGTTATCATACAGAATACAGACATGCAGTTATCATACAGAATACAGACATGCAGTTATCATACAGAATACAGACATGCAGTTATCATACAGAAAACAGACATGCAGTTATCATACAGAATACAGACTAGAGCTGTACCGAATAGTGATTGGCCGAATACGAATAGTGGGACCAACTATTCGGCCGAATACGAATATTGCATCATCATCATCAGGTGCCTTGCCGACTGGCGTGAGCCATCATGCCTCTCCACAATCGGCTATCTCCTGCTGCATGTATCAGTTCGTGAGCTGACACACCTACATGCCAGGAGGTCAAGACTGTCAAGCATCTTCTCTCATTGTCTTCCTCTATCCCTCCTTCCACAGATCTTTCCAATGGTCACCAAAAGTTCAATTTTCCCTCTTCTCATAACATGGCAAAAAAATGATGACTGTCTTCTTATGATGTCTGTGATTAGTTGTCTTCGGGCTCCCGCCTCTTTCAAAACCATCGTTCGCTCGGCCGTTAGTTCGATGTAATTTAAACGCACCCTCATCTTCTTGTTAGCAATATTTTCAAATTTGATTTAGGCGATGACACCCTGAAAGAACAAAAAATGCATGATCTCTTTCTCTCTCTCTCTCTCTCTCTCTCTCTCTCTCTCTCTCTCTCTCTCTCTCTCTCTCTCTCTCTCTCTCTCTCTCTCTCTCTCTCACACACACACACACAGACACACACTCGGACACACACACGCACGAACGCACACACTGCGGTTGGATTTTATACAGTTTGTACCACTCAACCGGGTCTCAGTTTCCCCCTGCTACAACAGACTTAGGCAACAGCAACTATTGTGTTAACGAGAAAGTTATTTCAGTCCATCACGGTGTATGCAGAAACGGGAGTAAGGTAACCACTATTCGTATTCGGCCCGACCGCAACTATTCGGCCGAATACCAAATAGTTATTAGGTCCACTATTCGGCCCCGAAGAGAATACGAAGCGAATATTCGGTACAGCCCTAATACAGACATACAGTTATCGTACAGAATACAGACATGCAGTTATCATACAGAATACAGACATACAGTTATCATACAGAATACAGACATGCAGTTATCATACAGAATACAGACATGCAGTTATCATACAGAATACAGACATGCAGTTATCATACAGAATACAGACATGCAGTTATCATACAGAATACAGACATGCAGTTATCGTACAGAATACAGACATACAGTTATCATACAGAATACAGACATACAGTTATCATACAGAATACAGACATACAGTTATCATACAGAATACAGACATACAGTTATCATACAGAATACAGACACACAGTTATCATACAGAATACAGACATACAGTTATCATACAGAATACAGACATACAGTTATCATACAGAATACAGACATACAGTTATCATACAGAATACAGACATACAGTTATCATACAGAATACAGACATGCAGTTATCATACAGAATACAGACATACAGTTATCATACAGAATACAGACATACAGTTATCATACAGAATACAGACATGCAGTTATCGTACAGAATACAGACATGCAGTTATCATACATAATACAGACATACAGTTATCATACAGAATACAGACATGCAGTTATCGTACAGAATACAGACATGCAGTTATCATACAGAATACAGACATGCAGTTATCATACAGAATACAGACATACAGTTATCATACAGAATACAGACATGCAGTTATCATACAGAATACAGACATGCAGTTATCATAAAGAATACAGACATGCAGTTATCGTACAGAATACAGACATGCAGTTATCGTACAGAATACAGACATGCAGTTATCATACAGAATACAGACATACAGTTATCATACAGAATACAGACATGCAGTTATCATACAGAATACAGACATGCAGTTATCGTACAGAATACAGACATGCAGTTATCGTACAGAATACAGACATGCAGTTATCATACAGAATACAGACATACAGTTATCATACAGAATACAGACATGCAGTTATCATACAGAATACAGACATGCAGTTATCATACAGAATACAGACATGCAGTTATCATACAGAATACAGACATGCAGTTATCGTACAGAATACAGACATACAGTTATCATACAGAATACAGACATACAGTTATCATACAGAATACAGACATGCATGCCGTCAAGCAGCTGTGTAGGCAGTTATCATACAGAATACAGACATACAGTTATCATACAGAATACAGACATACAGTTATCATACAGAATACAGACATACGGTTATCATACAGAATACAGACATTCAGTTATTATACAGAATACAGACATACAGTTATCATACAGAATACAGACATACAGTTATCATACAGAATACAGACATACAGTTATCATACAGAATACAGACATACAGTTATCATACAGAATACAGACATACAGTTATCATACGGAATACAGACATCCAGTTATCATACAGAATACAGACATACAGTTATCATACAGAATACAGACATACAGTTATCATACAGAATACAGACATACAGTTATCATACAGAATACAGACATACAGTTATCATACAGAATACAGACATACAGTTATCGTACAGAATACAGACATACAGTTATCGTACAGAATACAGACATACAGTTATCGTACAGAATACAGACATGCAGTTATCATACAGAATACAGACATACAGTTATCATACAGAATACAGACATGCAGTTATCGTACAGAATACAGACATACAGTTATCGTACAGAATACAGACATGCAGTTATCATACAGAATACAGACATACAGTTATCATACAGAATACAGACATACAGTTATCATACAGAATACAGACATGCAGTTATCGTACAGAATACAGACATACAGTTATCATACAGAATACAGACATACAGTTATCATACAGAATACAGACATACAGTTATCGTACAGAATACAGACATACAGTTATCGTACAGAATACAGACATACAGTTATCGTACAGAATAAAGACATGCAGTTATCATACAGAATACAGACATACAGTTATCATACAGAATACAGACATGCAGTTATCATACAGAATACAGACATACAGTTATCGTACAGAATACAGACATACAGTTATCGTACAGAATACAGACATACAGTTATCATACAGAATACAGACATACAGTTATCATACAGAATACAGACATACAGTTATCATACAGAATACAGACATACAGTTATCATACAGAATACAGACATACAGTTATCATACAGAATACAGACATACAGTTATCGTACAAAATACAGACATGCAGTTATCATACAGAATACAGACATACAGTTATCATACAGAATACAGACATGCAGTTATCATACAGAATACAGACATACAGTTATCGTGCAGAATACAGACATGCAGTTATCATACAGAATACAGACATACAGTTATCATACAGAATACAGACATGCAGTTATCATACAGAATACAGACATGCAGTTATCATACAGAATACAGACATACAGTTATCATACAGAATACAGACATACAGTTATCATACAGAATACAGACATACAGTTATCGTACAGAATACAGACATACAGTTATCATACAGAATACAGACATACAGTTATCATACAGAATACAGACATACAGTTATCATACAGAATACAGACATACAGTTATCATACAGAATACAGACATACAGTTATCATACAGAATACAGACATACAGTTATCATACAGAATACAGACATACAGTTATCATACAGAATACAGACATACAGTTATCGTACAGAATACAGACATACAGTTATCATACAGAATACAGACATACAGTTATCATACAGAATACAGACATACAGTTATCATACAGAATACAGACATACAGTTATCATACAGAATACAGACATACAGTTATTGTACAGAATACAGACATACAGTTATCATACAGAATACAGACATACAGTTATCATACAGAATACAGACATACAGTTATCATACAGAATACAGACATACAGTTATCATACAGAATACAGACATACAGTTATCGTACAGAATACAGACATACAGTTATCATACAGAATACAGACATACAGTTATCATACAGAATACAGACATACAGTTATCATACAGAATACAGACATGCAGTTATCATACAGAATACAGACATACAGTTATCGTACAGAATACAGACATACATTTATCGTACAGAATACAGACATACAGTTATCGTACAGAATACAGACATGCAGTTATCATACAGAATACAGACATGCAGTTATCATACAGAATACAGACATGCAGTTATCATACAGAATACAGACATACAGTTATCGTACAGAATACAGACATACAGTTATCGTACAGAATACAGACATACAGTTATCATACAGAATACAGACATGCAGTTATCGTACAGAATACAGACATACAGTTATCATACAGAATACAGACATGCAGTTATCATACAGAATACAGACATGCAGTTATCATACAGAATACAGACATACAGTTATCATACAGAATACAGACATGCAGTTATCATACAGAATACAGACATGCAGTTATC